ACTCTTTCCAGCTGAGAAAACAAGAGAGGTTGGACTAACCAAATAACCTTACCAGCATGAAAGCTGTGTCATTCCTTTACCTCCACTGCTTCTGTGACACACCTCTACAAAGAAAACATGTGGCAGACACATTTGAGCCAAAAACAGCGACTTATACCAATCAGTACATAACAGTACTCTACAGAATCCTGAAGCACAATGGAAGGATTCTATTTGGCCACCTACCTTTACAAAACCTGAAATAACTTAAAATCTGTGATATTTCCAAACACTTGTCATGTTTAGTGGAAAATGTTATTAGCTTCAAATGTACGGGGAGGGGACAGAGACGGACAGCTGCCCAATGCACACTTGTTCTTGGGGCTGCATTTTTGCAGAACTGTGGAACAGCAGCTAGAAGTACTCAGACATGCATTTTAGTTCTCCAAAAGGCAAGTCTCAAAGAGATGAAGATAGTCTTGATTCAGCTCCTCAGAAGAGCCTTACCTCCTAATGGTCATGCCACATATTGTCTGCCATGTATGTTTTTGCATTGTGCCCTATTTTTACTTCAAAACAAAAGAAGGCGATTTCTGAAGAATACTGTTTCAAAAGTATTTCAAATTGCCTGCCACACACAGACTGCACTGTGTGTCATAAGTTATGCATCTGAATTGTAAATAGTTATTTCCCTGGAATTACAAATGGTTTTGCCTTCCTTCTTGCATACATGAACAAAATGTTGTGCTATCACTCTTAACTATATTTTCCTCTGCGCTATTTCACATAATCTGTAAGCGAGATCCTTTCTCAGTCAAATGATATCAACACTGCATACACCAAGCCTCAATCCATCAGTTATGAATGGACCCTCTGTCCTTCTGATCCTTAGTCGCATGATAAGGAGATGCAAGTCGAAAAAACTTTTGTTATTTTAACAGGGAGGATGTCTGTAGGAAAAGGAAATGTCTAATGCCTTCTGGAGTTACCCACTGAAAAAAGAGCATTTTCCCATTGTGACCTTTATTGGGAAAAAATGTCTATGACAGTATAAAGGTGGATATCACAACTGTGTTCTGATAGCACATTCCAGTCACTCAGAGACAGACCTTCCACTGCACCCAAGTGCAGGAAACAACTAAAACTAGCTTGCTGCAGCAGCCAAAAACCTCCAGCAAAAGCCAACATGTTCAGAACATGTTCCAAAACTGGAGTACTGCTTGTAAAAGGGAAATGAAATCTGCCTTCAAATCTCCCTCGAAAGCACAACTGTGTGCCAGAGTGCCCAATAGAGACTGTACCACTGAATTCCCACTTAAGCCTTCCAGATAAGCTTATCTAGAATTCATGTCCCTCATAATGCCACTTGCACCAGGATGATCATCACTTACAGTGAATTCCATCTAAGGAAAACCATATAGGGCCCAAATAGTAACTTACACTTTCTCTCATCCAGCAGACCAGTAATTAGAGCAGTGTGATAATCTGGACATACTCTCACCTGATGAGAACAGGCCCTGGGCCTGCTGAGGAGCTGTGAGAAACTCACCGGTACATCTTTTGACGAGTTTCAAGCTCTTTGCGTCTGTGCTGCTTGAGAATCTGAGTCTTGTCGTCACGGGGGAGCTTTGCTGTGAAACAGTAGAAAGGAAAGAGACAGGGTTATGAGATTCCTCTGCCTGTCACTGCCCAGGTCTTCAGGAGGAGAGCAAAGTTTCCAAACCTTCCACCTTCTGATCTATACCTTTACAACGTTTCTGTGCAAAATGTTTACACAATCTAGTACCTCGAGTAGAAACACAGGTAGCCAGAGAATGTGTGGCAGGAGATAAGCTCCTAACTTGGTGCCTCCAAGAGGCAATTAGCTCAAGCTAGGAACACCTGTCTCAACTGTATAAAAAAACTGGATTCCTAGTGTAGACCCTTGCTGTGCATATCTAGTGTTAAATGGTCTGAACAGGATCATGGGAATTAATTTCACATTTCAGTATCTAAAATAATTTTCTTCAATAAGAGGAATCATAAAATTGTTCCAGCTAATCTTCTCTGCTATAAGACATCTCCAGGAAATGCCTATCCTCTAGTCATGATCTGTGCTCTTCTCTGTCACCTTGGGGTAATGATCATATCTTCTCATCGTGAGAACAGAAAGAAAACCCAGTGAGACTTCATTTCCAGGCAGCTGGCTCTTCTGACCATGTATTCACTGTACCATTAAACAACACAGTCTTCTTTAGTGATCAGAGAAAGTGCAAGGTATGTGACTCACTTTACATACACAAATGGGAAGGAAGACAAAGCCAGCAGGTTTTTCATGGAAATAATTATTTGGGGTTTGGGATTGGAAATATCAGAGGTAATACAACTGATGGCTAACAGTTTCCAGCTCGCTGTGTTCAAATTACCAATAGAGTTTCACCTGCTTTTGTTCTTTACCTTACCATACTCTGAAAGCTACGCGAAGCTGCTTTCCATGGCAGTGTTACAGTTGTTATAAGTCAAATTATGAAAAATTGAAAGCCTGTTTGGAGACCAAGAATAAACTGTTTATCCAACACATAGTTTTGATTAGAGTACAAAAGACTTCAAATGCAAAATTCCTCAGCCAGGAGTAGTCAAAGGCTTAATGGGAAGGTAAACTTTATTTCCTACCACGAGCACTCTTTGCATGTACTTCCCGAAATATCCAACTCAACTGCCAGTGCTCAGACTGACAAACTGCTCAGGAAGCACCCGTAGTCAGGAGGGAAAGCCCATTCCGTAGGATGCAGAAGGGGACTGGCAGTGGGTATCCACGTGAAAGAATAGATTAGGAGGTACATGGGAAAAGAGAAAGGAGAGGTGGAAGAATTCTGGATGTTCTGCAGGAAATAAGGTTTCTTATGGCTCTCACCTCTTCCATCTCGAAGGACAATCTCTTTTTCATCTGTAATCCAGCGGTAACATGGGAACTCCAAATAGTCACCCATTGGCATTTTTACAGTGATGTACCTAAGGTACCAGTCATCCTGGTACCAGTATTTTCGTTTCTCAATTTTTATTAGCTGAATTTCTCCAAGGTCTTCTTCCACAGTCACATCATAGGAGTCAACCTAAAGAGCAGCATACAGTCAATGATCCACTGCACATGCAGGAAGCACAACCAGCACTGCACAACCAGCACTACACAACCATACTTGGCTTTTTCTAATAGGGCATGGGTACAACAGAACTTTCCAGCTTCTGGTAGGTGAAAAAAGGAAGACCTATTATTGGACTGCAATGCAACAGAAAAATGCATAAAAGAACAACTAAGAACTTGCAAACCACTCCAAAACCAGGGAAGCATTTTTGTACGCAAACTATCAAATGGCAGTTCTGGTGGCACGTGCACTAACAGGCAATGCCAGCATAGGCAGAAACGAGTAATCGCTTCAAATATGATCAGTAAGACACCATGTGGTGCTACGCAATTCAGGAGAACAGGAATTAACTCTCACTTTCCAAGAATAAAAACAGCTCAGAGGAAAGCTCAGTAGCCAAGCACTCCTCATAACAAAGCTGAATTGGCTATGGCAACCATGGGAGCAGTAGCCAGAGCCTGCTCTGGCTATCCTGCTAAGCTTCATGTAGTTACGAGTAGAAACTTCATTCTCTTGTGGTTTTTCTCAACACAGTCAACAATCTTAGAAACTAATGAGCTTCTGATATGAAAAGGATGAGGTACCGCATCAACATGCTGCAGTGCCTACAGTGCCTGTAGACACTCACCTGCCTGTGTGAGCTTTGTCACTTGGTGCCTGACCTAGACACTATGCTCTGCTTGTTCTTTTCAGAAGCATTTTCTTAGCCTTTCCCAGGCATTTGATATATGCCCACTGTTACTGTCTTACTTGCTAGGGAAAAGCTAATTCATGTAAGGACCAAAACTGAAAAGTGAAGAAAGATTAAATTTCAGACAGGAGAAGGCAAGGGGGGGGGGGGAGGTAAGGAAGAAAAAAAAAAGAAAAAAGGATTTTTAAATGCTGCCAGATGGCACTTATTATTTCAACTGTTACAAATGAAACATCCATAGTGGTTTGCACCCACATGACGTGCTCCAACCCTGGAGGTGTTCAAGGCCAGGCTGGACAGAGCCTTGGGCGATATAGTTTAGTGTGTGGTGTCCCTGCTTATGGCAGGGGGGTTGGAACTAGATGATCTTAAGGTCCTTTCCAACCCTAACTATTCTATGACTGTAAGAACACACATAAGAAGGATTCCTTGGCATCCCTTCCTTTCAAATTTTAACTCATGTTACCCACATTATTAACAAAGGCAAGTGTAGGGTACTGTACCCCAAATACCAGTACAGATCGGGGGCTGACCCACTAGAGAGCAGTTCTGCTAAGAAAGACCTGGGAGTATTGGTAGATGACCAGTTGGCTGTAAGCTGGCACTGTGCCCTTGCCCCAGTATCCTGGAGAGCATCAGGAGGAGTGTGGCCAGCAGGTCAAGGGAGGTGATCCTGTACTCGACCCCGGTGAGGCCATATCTGGAGTACTGCGTCCAGTTCTGGGCTCCGCAGTACAAGACAGACAAGGAGCTACTGGAGAGGTTCCAGCAGAGGCCGCAAAGATGCTCAGGGGTCTGGAGCATCCCTCTCATGAGGAGAGATTGCAGGAGCACTACACTGAAACTTGTATGAGTCTGTTTCATACTAACAAGGATATTGAAATTTCTTCTAATACACTGCCTAATTTAATTTTAGGCATGGACAGTGCTTATTTTATTTTGCTGAGATTTACCAGACTAATCTTAGTCTGAGCTATATTCTCTGCATGCCTATTAAAGCAAAAGACATTGAACTGTTCCTTTCAAAAAGGAAGCCCATCATATCTTACATAAAAATTTGCAGTGTTTATGTCAATAGCACACCCATACACACCAGGTGGCAACAAACTGCTTCACAAATAGCGTGGTAGTCCTTGGCAAGCTTGGGATGACAGTGTCTGTCTGTCTGAGAGCTGAAAATCACAGAGCTGAGATTTCAACCAACGTTTTGAAATGGTACTTGTCACTTTTCCTTGCATTTCAATAGCAGAAGAGAAACAGTTATATCTCCAGAGCCAATAAATATATGAATTTTAAGCATTTTTTTTTTAAGTTTATGTTGCTGGCTCTTCAACACCCCCTCACTATGTCAGAACAGCTAAAAGAATAATGTGTAAAGGTAAATTCATTCCCTTGGCGATTCATGATTTTGAACCAGTTGTGGAGACTGAAAAATGCTGAGTGGCATTTCTCAGAAATCACAGTAATAGTGCCTTGTGTTAAAACACAGAGTCAGTGACTTGTGTTCCTGGCTAACTGAATGGAGATTCATCTCTCCCACAATGCTGATTTCAAACACCGCTTTCATCTTTGCCTATCACCCCATGTCCAAAATTCTTGACTTCACTCTTGTCAATTGACATGAAGAATTTTGGATGATGGCTAGAAAATGTAGATAACGTGCTCAGATTGTTTATTGTTCTTCAAATCTTCTTTCCAGAAATAGGCAGCACTTGAACCCTTTATATTTCATATTCATTCCCCTGCAGCTCCTGGTTTTCTCAACAAAAACAGTGACAATAAACTCTTTGCCAGGCTCAGGTTTCGCTCTGAGTCAGTACTTCTGCAATTTCATACATCTTCCCAGGGCCAGATGACACTTTGCAGAAGAGTCGCTCATCACAGGCTATCATACCACATATCTCAAACTCAGCCACATCCTGCTTGTGCCTGTCTGTATACAATTACAAAAGAAAATGAATTCTCTCTTTCAATTTCACCATGATCTTGCTGTATTTGGCAGTCAGGAGCTGGTATTAGTGACCATGCAGAGGCACAGTCCAAACAAATCTGCAAACCTGTGTGAATTATTACCCATTTGTGTTCATCATTATAAAGGGAATTTAAATGTGTAAAGACTAATGCAATAACCTACAGAAGCAAATTAGAAACTGCATCTGGATCAGCTTTGCTTTGCATTCAATGTTCCATCTTCTCACTCATTTCCAGTTCCAGGGCTAGTCGTGTACAGAGGAAGAATAAGGTAACCAAAGACACTGTCTGGATAGGCGAAATGTACTGCATTATTTTTAGCTCAAGTCCTCACAAAACCCCATTGCCATCAAGTGATTGGTATGGCACAAAAAGTCTGAAATTAATTGTATTTTCTCATCAACTCCTTATTGCCCAAGATACCTGACTCTCCTTTTCTTAATTCCTCTCCTTTAAAGGTTCAGCTAACATTTCCATTTTTAAAAAATCCTCATTTACACATACATGTTACTAGATGTTCTTATAATGTCACACCTATACACAAATATATCTCTAATATTTAAAAAGCAATGTGAATCAGATCCAGAGTTGATAGAAATGTCACAATGACAGCCAATCTTTGGAAAAAACTCGATTCCTCTGGTAACATTTGCCAATATTACAACAGTCCTAAAGTCACAAGTCACTGTTGATGGAATGCAAAAAGGACATTCAATTAGCCTAAGAATTCCTGAAGGCTTTTAATCTTTTTGTGACCATCCCAGTTCCCATTTTAATGGCACTTTTGAAAGTGAGGTTTCCTTTTGATATCTCACCCAGTTTTTGCTACCTTCAAGCCAGCAATGTGGTGGGCTCGCTTGAGATGGTGATTTTACTAATTCAGTGAAGGTATGTCAGGTTACAAAGATTGTACAAGGTCCAGGTAAGAACCGACAGCTGGTTGTGAAAGGTTTCTATGGCATTTGTTCTACAAGGTCTCCTGGTAAACACATGGCATCCCTAATGACTGCGTGATGGGCCAGAGATGTTAGGACTTTTTACACAGTTTGAGTTCAGAGTGAGAGAACAGAAATAATGAAGACTATTTGACTATCCAAACTCCCATAGAATCCTGTTCAAGCAGTTTAATCTCAGACAAAACCTAAGCTCACTTTTTTTTAGGAGAAACTCCTACTGACTAGCCTAGTATTGTAAAAAGGACAACACAGACAACCCCTCTTGCTATACACACAAGAGTGGAAAGCACTGTAATTCCCTTCTGAAAATACTTGTGAGTGTGGATCTTTCAAGAAAAGCAAAAATTAGATGAAAGCATAAAAGGAAGAAAACAGAGAACAGAGTGACACTTGCTTTGAAATCACTTGGCACGAGCAGGAACTTAAAAGACACTGAGTAAAGTAGCTATGGCTTTCTACATCACCCGTGTCTGGTACTTGGAGTAAGTCAGACAAAAACTACAACTGGGTGGGCTACTGCTGTGCAAATCCCTTTAGGTTTTTTTCCCTCAATCAACATTTGGCATGTAAATCTCCTACTCAGAACTGGTCTGAGCCTTCATTCATTATATCTAGTAATACACTAGTAATTTTGCATTAATTCAAATGAAGACATTACCAGGATAATGGAACTACTGAACCTAGCTCAACATTTAGAAAAGAAACTGGAAAGCAGACAAAGCCTTTAAAGAAAATACTGTGAAATTCTGGTCATCCACTGAAAAAGTGATTTTGTTTTTGTTTTGGTTTCTTTTCCTGCAAATGTGTTCACAATTGAATTGCTTTGCAGAAAAAGAAAGATATAGCAATGGTATCGAAACACTAAAGGCAGAACTGTGAAACCAGTTCCTACACTTTACAAAGCAACCAGTCTGAAAGTCATTTGGCCTGCTTCAGTTTGGGTTATGGGCTTGGGTTGTTTGTTTTTTTTGGTCTGTATTGGTATTTTCTTTCCTTCTTTCTTTGCACAATATATTAGCAAGGCTTATATTTTTTTTAGGCACAGTGTTACCTGAACAAGTGCCTGGAGAAACACACTGCACCCTCCAAGAGAACAACCTCAACAACAACTTAGCACGTTGTACTACAAGTGTCCATTGAGCCAGACATTTTATGGAACGTAGAGTTATTCTCATTCTCCACAATAAAGACATGCTGAAAAAAAAAAAGACTGCATATTTCTAGTATCAAACACATAACAATTAACAGAAATAATTAATTTACATAGGTCAGAACCTTTACATAGTCAAGAACCTTTGCACTTGGAAACAAGTTTGACAAAAAAGCTCACATAGTCCCTGCCTCAGAAAGCT